CCCTTCTCACAGGTGCCGGCTCTCCCTGACCCAACCACTCCTCACAGAATCGGCTGATCCCCAAAGGATAGTTACATTCCCGGGCCCTTCTCCGGGGACCAGCTGTCCTATGGTGCGGCCTCTGCCTGCAGCAACTGGTCCCAATTCCAAGTCTGCTGTACGCCTGGCCCCTGTGACGACATGAACCATGCCCCTGCCCTGCACTACAGCCTTAGTCTCCTCTGCACTGCTGCCCCTGCCTGGGGCCAGACCTGCACGTGTCTCCTCTGTCTTTCTGGTCTCTGACCGGGCACACCGTCGGAACTGCCACCTTTGCTTCCTGTCATTCAGCTCTCACTGGACACTTGTGCTCTCGAGTTTCCCTCTAGCCCTGCCAGAGCCACACAGACACTTCCGCAAACTGCTGCCACAGGAAAAGGAGTCCTGTCCCTTTCGACTGAGCCACAGTGCAAATCTCCCGAGTGGGTTCACGACCCTTCACGTGAGGATGCACGCCAGAGAGGTGAAGAGCAAGGGTTTTGCAGACCACTCATCCAGGGTCAGGGCCTGGCCATCAGTGGTGACTGAGGGGAGGTGACAACTCTTTGAACTGTAGTGTACTCATCTGTAAAATGGGTGTAATAATCAGCTGTATCTCACAGGGCTGTTGGGAGGGTTATGTTAGCGATGAAGTCAATAGTATGTCAGGTCACAGTCAGTGGTCTGTAGTGATTATCATCAGTTACTGTCATCGTTATCACTCACTGCTGCCATGGGGTAATGGCTGAGGGCATAGGCTCTGGAGCTAGAGCACCCACGATTGAGTCCTCCTCCTCCTCCACTTACACCTGTGTCTCACCTATTTCACCTGTAAAATGGGCCCCTAACAACTCTACCTACCTCACAGGGAGGTGGTGAGTTAGTCCACATACTGTAAGGTGCTTAGAACTATACCGAGAGCATGGTGAACACCTAGTCATATTAGCTGTCATGGATGTTATGACTGTTTCAAATACCGTGATCATGCAGGCTGCAGGCTGCTTTGGAGTTGCATTCAGGGAAGGCTTCTGCGAGGCTCCCCCTCGCGCTGTGTAAGGGGTGACCGTGCCTGCTGACTCACTCCCTGTGAACGTAGGGATACAATGTGTTTTCCAAGGAGGGACGCACACTCCCAGTTCTGGCCAAACCGGGAGGTGCCACAGCCACATCTGAGGCTGGCACACTACTGGGCCGATCTGTTTTTCCAGATCTGTTCTAAGGAAAAACGGTGCCCACAGAAAGATCATGCTTCGTGCCAGATCAAACATTACAGACATATTCAATAAGGTAAGTTGCTGACCATGGGGGAAAAATCCATTATCCTGAAATCTAGCTTTCATCAAAGGATCAAGGTGTTGCCACTAAGCCCTTCGTGACACGTACGTGTTACTCACAGGCTGAGATTCTAGGGTTTAAAGATGCTCCGGCAGTTCAGACACTGCCTTCCCAAAAGACTGCCGAGTTTTCTGGCAAAACCCAAATGCAACAATGCAAGCTGGCAACAAAGACGGACTCCCCGCTAGTCCGCACCGCGGCCCTGGTGGCTGCTACGTACAGTGTAGGGTCTGCTCCAGTGACACGCGGTGAAGCAGCGTTTCGAATACTAGTGGCAATCTTTCTTCTAGGGCCTAGAATCTAGGCTATGCCTGACAGATCCACGGAAACACGGGAGCACAGAATGGGTTTCTCTCGTTCCCTGTCTCCACGCTCCTCCCACGCTGGTTAGGAAGAGAGCCCACCGGAGCACCTTCACACCTGGACATATGTGCAGATGTGCACGGCTGGTGGACAAGGGAGCTGCGGCCGCTAAAACAGGTCTAGAGGCCAAATTATGCACTGGCATGTTTGAGACGAGAGAGAAACAACAGAAATAAAAAGGTACCAGGTAACCATTTAAAGGGTCAGATGTGTCAAGAACTATGTTAGCGATTTTAAATGCATTATCATTTAATTCTAACAAAAACCCTCGAGAGGAAGTACGATTATTCACTAACTGTCATGGCCGAGGAGACGGAACCTAACGGACTTGCAGTGACTCACTCCAGGTCACAGAGCTCACACTGATGAAGCTGGGTCTGGACCCCGAAGTGACTCCGTAACTGGTGCTCCAAACCCTTAATGAACCGGGACTCTGAAAAGCCAGCGCTCCTGTGAGCATGTCCACCCTCCCTCCTTTGCTGCTCACCTCCCTCGCCTGTGCTGTCCAACAGGGTAGCCGCTAGCTACACGTGGCTATCGAAATTTAAACTGATTAAAAAGAAACGAGATTTGAAATTTAGTTCATTCCTATTGAGCAGTTAAAAATATGGCCAGTGCAGCTGATGGCCTGAAATTATAATTTCATTTAATTTTTGTTCATTCGAATTTCAATGGTCACATGTAGTTAGTGGCTACCATGCTGGGCAGCGCTGCTCTACGGACTTTTTCTCGGCTGCATCAGACATGGCTCACGCTGCTTTCCAATGCTCAGAGACAGAGGGGCACCAGTTGCTTTGCCCAAGGAGCCATAGAAAACCCCGGGTCTAAAGTCCCTGCCTCTTTCTTAAGATCAGAGACTATATGTTCTTCAAATGTACCCGCGTGGCCTTTCCAACGTTCCCCAACTCCCAGATCTGAGTGCTCCATAAGTTCCAGGGTGAGGACAAGAAAATAAGAACAGACGAAACCCAGGAACAAGTGTTCTCAGCAGGGAGCTGGTTAAATCGCAGGCTCCGGGGTCCCACCTCTGCAGGCTCTGCTGCGGGGGCACTGGGGGCCTGGAGTCCATGTTTGAATCTAGCAGCTAATGATTGGGATGCAGGTGGTGTCGCTTTGAGGCGCTGCTTTGGAGGCTGACTTACTTATCTCCTGGCCTCTTACACAATTACAGCACATAAATCTTCGGAGAACAGTGCAAGCCAGGCTGGAAGCCAGGCAGTCATCGCTCCGCACTAAGTGCTCACTTCTACGACATTAGCAAGGTGCTTAGTCCCCAAGGCCCCGCGTTTTCCCATCTGAAACACGGGGGTGAGGATGTGTGCTATTTGTCCTCTAGGACAAGTGAGAACACAGGTGTGGAAGCATTCGAGGGGGACAACAGCTAGAAACACACGCGCAGACATCCCGCACCTCAGCGACGCGTTCTGCCTGTTAGCAGAGAGTTTACCTAGATTTCACATTTTTAAAAAATGTAATTTTTTTAAAGCTATCTCCACAAGAAGAGAACACTCATTCTCTTGGTTTTTCTTTTTCTTTTGTTAATCCTCACCCAAGGATATATTTTTATTGATTTTAGAGAGAGAAGAAGGGGAGAGAGAGAGAGAGAGAGAGAGAGAGAGAGAGAGAGAGAGAAACATCTATGTGAGAGAGAAACATGGATTGGCTGCCTCCTGCACTCACCCTGAACTGGGATCGAACCCACAACCTAGGTATGTGCCCTGACTGGGAATCGAACCCACACCCCCTGGTGCACGGGATGATGCTCCCACCGACTGGGCCACCCAGCGAGGACAAGTGCACAGCTTTACCTTGTCTGAGCAAGTGGGAGATTTGACAGCATGGGTTCATGTTAGGTTGCAGCCTGGTGATTAGGAGTCACATGGGGTCACGTGCACAGGTTCAAGCCCTCCCCCACCTTTGAAAAGCTGGGTCAAGTCCCTGAGCCTCTCTTTGCCTCAGTTTCTTCAACTCTGAAATGAGAATTTAATAGTCTTCCTCCCTCACTGGATTGTGATAATTAACCGAATGAATATTTATAAAGTGCTTAGAACAATGTTTGGCACATGGCAAGAGCTGTGTCACTAGCTGAGTGAATAAATAACTGCATGTGGCAACACGCAGCAGGAGCTCACCTGCGCCAGTTTACCGGTCTCCACCCAGGCTCACTGGGCTGTGGGATCCGCTATACCCGGTAGGTGTGGTCTCCCTCCTCGGGGCCAGGCCACCAGGAGCAGATACGCGCAGTGTATCTCAGAGCGGTACTTCTCAAGCGATGCGTGGTGACGGACCAGCTTATTCTGAATCCGCTGTGGACTGACGGGTGCCTTTCTGAACAGGACTCATACACAGCAACGCCACATGCAACTCCCGCAACGCACCACGGGTTCTGCAACACCCTCGCTGGTGGGCAGCGGGGCCCAAAAATGAGCACAACAAACATGCACTTGGGTGTTGTCAGACTGCACTACGAGTCCCTAAACAGTCCTTTCAGTCCTTATCTCGCTGGGCACTGCGGCCAGCCTGGGCCTCAGGCCCTCGGAGTAGCGCCAGCCTAGGGAGCATCTCCACGTCGCCACACGCACACGAACCAGCCACTGCGGCTGGAGAGGGTGGGCATTAGGTCCACTCTCTCTCTCTGTTCTCTCCACATTTGCCCTTGGCAGCTCTGTCCATGCCTCTTTTGTTGTTGTCTGCACACTAAAACCAGCTCCCTAATGAGAGTCTGGGCTCAGAACAACGCGTTGTGGACGTGTTGGTGCCCAGGCAGCACGGCCTCCGGCTCACAGCTGTCCCTCTTCCTGGATGTCGCCTTTGACCAACAGGAGCTGCCTTGCCCCATGCCACACCCACAGCCTCGTGTCCCAGTCGCTTGCCAGCAGCCCAAACCCAATGACCGACTGACATGGTGGCGCCAACATCAGCCCCTTTTCTGCAAGAGGGAACCAACTGGGTGGTATCATCCCCAGAGCCCCGTGAGTCAGGCTGAAGCTGGCTCCTGTCCCCACAGCACCCTTCACTTGGCTCCTCCCCCTCCCTGTCCTGTGTCCCCCCCTACCCCCGGCCCCTCCTTGGAAGCACCCTCCACACGTCACAGGCACCCAGATGTCTGCCTCAGCTCTGCTTCTCGGGAACCCGGTCACAGAAGCCATCTGAGACTTGGGTGCATCTTCCCCAGTGACCTGCTGGCGGGGGCGCACAGTTGGACAGCATGCACACCCTGGGGACCGGCATCAGGTCACCCCGAGGCCATCCAGGCTGTGTGCCTGCCGGGGAACAGAACCTACCTGTGGTGTTAGACAGGGCCAGCGACTCCATGGAGCCCCGAGGGGTCTGCTCCGTGGGCGTCATGTCCTCGGTGTATTTCAGGGAACTGAGTGGACGGCGGGTCTGGCACTGCTGAGTGGACATGCCCCCTTCCTCCTCCTCCTCCTCCTCGTATTTGGGGACCTGGATGCTGCCTCGGGCCTCGCCGAAGCTCTGACTGGACATGTCGCTGTAGCTCTCCTGGGACCGCAGCCTTCCCGGGTAGTAGTCCTCTCGGCACTCCTGGATGAAGCTGCCGCCGTGCCCCTTCAGGGCCAGGGACGAGCTCCTCTTGGGGTTGCTGAAGTGCGGGGCCCACATGTCGGGCGCGGCGCCCGCCCCCTGCACCCCGGGGCTGTAGGAAGTTCTGATGTTGCACTGGCTGAGCAGCTGCAGGGGGCTCTGCGGCTGGCCCTGCTCCAGCTTGTTCCCGTAATGGAAGGGCTCGTCCCGGCTCCTCCAGATGGGGTCCCGGTTGAGGCTGGGCGTCTGGCTGGCCAGGCTGAGCAGGTCCATCTGCAGCGACAGGGGGTCCACGTCGGCGGACAGCCGGTTGGAGCTCACCTGCAGCTGGCCGTGCGGGCTCAGCACGGGCTCCTCCGTCTTGCCCTTGTTCTTGCCGATTTTGGCGCTGCGCCGGGACTCCTTGGCCCTGGCATTCTGGAAGGCTGAATCGGACGAGTCCGAGCCATTGGGGTCCTCCCCGGCGCTGCAGGCCCGGGAGCAGAATATCTGGCCCTGCTTGGGGAGGAAGGGCCGCCCGAGGAGGGACTTCTTGCAGTGAGCGCAGCAGAAGCAGGTCTCGGTGGCGTGCCAGTGCTGGCCGTCGTAGGTCATCTGGCCCTGGTCGATCCCTGAGGAGAGAAGACACGGGAGAGGCTGACGAGCGGCTCAGGCTGTTCACTGCACTGTGAGACCTACACATCCTGGTGTGGCCGGGGCTCCACCTGTGGCAGGATCCCCTGTGACTACACCCGTGGCCAGGCCCCTCGTTAATGGTACTCATGTCCTATCACCCGCACCTCCTTCTTGTTCCAGGCGGTTCCTTGTAACTCATTTGCTCTGAGTCGAGAAACTAGGTCAGAATGGCCTGCCATGAATCCTGCCCGGGGCACACTTCTCCAGACAAACAGCATCATGATAGCAACGGAGGACAAATGCTTTGCATAGATGTAAACTCATACAACCCTCCAGGCATGAGGAGGTGCCTCACATCATTTCCATTTTTTTTCAGATGAGAAAACAGGCACAGGAGGCTAGAGAACCAGCCGAATGTGACACAGCTGGGAGTCACAGATGGGATCTACCCAGGAAGTCTTGCCCTTCCCACCACATGGGTACCGCCTCCTTCACTCTGCTTAGGAGTCTGCGCAGAGGTCAGCTCCTTGGGGAAGTTGTCCTGTCCACCCCACTGACACCTCTCCGTCACCCCCCACCCCCACCTGCTGCATTTCTCTTTATAGAATCATCTGCCTGCCATCGGGCTGCACACATGCACCTGTTCACTAGTTCTCCTTCCACAGCAGCGACGCTCTAGGACCATTATCCCGTTTCTCTGTTTCCCCCAGGAGCGTGGCCGGGGCACCGAAGGGCTCTCCATATGCTGAATTGGTGGGTGAATTGAATCCCTCCGCCAGTGTATACCACTCGGAAGGGTACCCACTTTGTCCTGGTCCCGGGCAGCGCTGGTATACACAGTCTCCTCACACCTGTGTGAGACCCGCCCACAGCCCCCCTGCCCTTGCTCTCAGCGCTCTGCCTTCTTCCAGTTATAGGACTTAGTCTCCCCATGGGGCCCCATCTCCCTGCCACCCTGCAGCTGCCCAAAGCTACACCTGGACCTAGTACTGGCCAGGAAAAGAACGTGTCTCCCAGCCCAGTGGCTGGTTCAGGGTGGGTAGGTGACTTGCACCCGGCCAAGAGGAGTCCTGGGGCTGGAGTATGACAGTGGCTGCAGAATGAAAGGCAGAGCTGTGGGGGGCCCATCCTGTGGGGACAGCCTGCTGAGAATGAAACCCCACAATCACTGTGGGAAGGAAGGGGACCTCTGGGGTCTGACATGAAGGTCTTTTTGAAAGGCAGTACTGACATGATCCTTCCCCTTTGGTGGTTAAGAATCCTAAGCCTTTGCAGGAATAACTTTCAGAGCCTTGTCCAGAGAGGCGGCGAACAAAAGCGGAGAGAAAAGAGAAGGCCAACACTGGGCAGCTCTCCTGCCCTGTTGGTGCACCCTCACTTCCCGGCCCCGGGCCCAGGAGAGTGAGGCGTAGGGCACAGGCCTCTCTGCTGGGCTCCTCCCCAAGCCAAGGGTCTTGGTTTCTTTAGGAGTCAGCCCTAGGGACCCAGAGGGGACTGTTAGAGGGACAGGAGCCGCCACCAGGGCCACCCGAAGGGGAGTGGGACACTGGACAGCTGGCTTCCACTCAGCACCGCGTTCCCCACAGGGGTGAGAACTGGCTGAGGCAGGACGCCGGGGAGGGCAGCACCCTGGCAGGTGAGTGAGACTCTGACATTCCAGTGGCTGTGAAGATGCTGAGCTCCATCAGCTTGGGTTCAAATCCGATTCTGCCGCTGTCCGGCTGTGTGACCCTAGCCAGTGGTCGGCAAACTGCGGCTTGCGAGCCACATGCGGCTCTTTGGCCCCTTCAGTGTGGCTCTTCCACAAAATACCGACTTCTGCGCATGGGCCACGAAATTTCAATCGCACTGTATGTGCGCCCACACATGGTATTTTGTGGAAGAGCCACACTCAAGGGGTCAAAGAGCCTCATGTGGCTCTCGAGCTGTGGTTTGCCGACCATGGCCCTAGGCAATGGCTCCATCTCTCTGTGCCTCCGTCTCTCCCTAAGGAACAGGGGTGATTGTAGCACTTACTTCATGGTTATTGTGGGGATTGACGGAGTTAATATGCAGAGAATGCTTAGACCCCTGCCTGTAACTATTCTCGTCTTGTATTTTTTTAGGTCTTAATGCCTGTCTCCCTCTTGGCTCTGATGGCCGCTGCCTGGACGCAGCCCAGGGGAGAACTCAGGCTGACTTGGTCTCTCCGCCTCTCTCTCTCCTCTCCTCCAGGGACCTGAACTGCCCTCCTGGCTGCCCTGGGTTCTCACTGTGGGCTCCTTCCTGCTCGGCACAGATCCCCGCAGCTGCAGCCTCCCCTCCCGTCACAGGCCTGACCTCCACCCGCTTCTCCGTGCTTCTCTTTGCTTCTGCGAGGAAACATGCTCAGATAGGCAGTAGGGGTCTTCTTCTGGGGGTGGGGGCCTCGCAGAAGGCTGGGTCTCTGTGGGGAGGGGCCGGGAGGCGTGTTACAAAATGGCCCAGTCGGCAGCCGAACGTGGTCCCTGATAAACATCAGCGACAGTCACATGGTACCCTGAACTGCCCCTGAACTCTGAACATCTGGAAAGGGCTCTGCCGGTCCAGGGAAGTAAGTGCTCTTTTCTCTCCCCTCTAAGCCCTTTAAGTACTTCTCTGAGGGCGATGTGTCTACTGCTGCCACAGCCGCCCTCTGTTTATAGGACTGTTTGCTGTGCGCAGGCAAAAGTACCGTTGCCCTAGCAACAGCGGCCTGATGCAGGTCTGCTCTGAGCAGCTATATAAATACGGAATATTTGCAGAATGTGGTCAGAGGAAAGCACCAGGGACTGTGGTATGCATGATACACACAGCATACCTTCACCACCGCAGGAAATTACGTTTTACAGGAAAGTGGGCCTAGAACAAAAAAATCAGGGGCAGCGTTTTAACGCAGCAGGGACGGTTCTGCAGGCCGCGGAGCTCTTTTCTGGTAAAACACACACCTTTTTATGGATTTAGGAGGAAAGAAGAGGGAACGCCAATCACCGTTCTCGAATAGCTAGAAGTGAAGAGAGAAGGCGGGGCCTACTAAGGGGTGGCGGCTGTGGGCAGGGTCGGTCAGATTTTCTCTCTTCCTGCCACTGAGCGCAATCTGCAGTGGCAGTGCATGGAGCGGCTCTGACGCCCCCCAGGAAAGGGACAGAAGACACAGAAACACTGATGGGAAAGGGTATCGCCGCTGTGAGCACGTTTTCTGTACACTCAGCCCCTCTCACCTGAGCAAGCACCTATTCAGAACCCACAGCGAGAATGTGGGGCAGGCAGGTGCTCTGTCTCCCCTGACAGCGTCCCACCCCCGCCCTTCCTCACGGGCCCAGACACTTGTCCAAACCAGGGTGCCCATTCCCTAACGCTTACCGTTCAAGGAAGCTTATCTCTGACTGCTCTGGCCTTGTGAGAGTGAAAGCTGTGGGATTCTTGGTTGGCTCCAGGCCCTGGAGATGAGGTGTTTAGGGCTGGGGAAGGAAGCTGGGCGTCCCTCAGGCCCCAGGAGGGAATGCTGCTGGGCAGAGGTCAGCACAGCGGTGCTCAGCCCTGGGCCTGGCGGGGCCGCCGCCCGGGAAGGCCTCCCAGCAGCAGGCCGTTTGGGACGGACACCCGACAACAAAGGACTGAGCACACGTAGGTGCCTTGTCCACAAAGCTGTGATTTCTATCCACGCACGAAACCCTCCAAATGACTAGCTGCTTTTATATTTGAATGCATCACTTCTGATGAACCAGGGAAGCATGTCAAACTCACGCCCCACGGGCAGCATGCCTCGTTTATTTGGCCCGTGTTAGCCTTTGAGTTTGACATGCTTGAACCGGGGAGACAAAGCCACTTCTCCCTGTCCCTGATGAAATCTCTGACTTCCTCCCCATCGACCCACCGCAGGTGAGACGCTGGCAGCATCTGAGCACGTTGCCTGGAATTGCACAGACCACAGGAAGACCAGCTGCTGGCCTCACAGACCTTCATCCCCGGCCAGCTTTCCTTTCTTTTTAAAGGGCAGCTCTTTCTCAAGGTGCCAGAACAGGCAAATTGAAGGAAGAAGCCACAGATGACCGGAATGGCGTTGGAGGGCGAACAAATTGGTTAGTATTTGCAAAGGGAAAATGATTTTCACCATCTCAGAACTGCCATTTATTTGGGGAGTTTATAGCTTATGGGCTATTTGAGGTTTTCTTGCTTTGATTTGGCTGGGTCAGCCTTTTTTTTTTTTTTTTTCAGACATGCTTGCCAGAAGCCATTTGGTTTTCTTGACTATCCTACCAAGAAAGCTGCTTTGATTCCTCCCTCTATTAACACTCGAGTTTTCCAGGGAGGCAGTGGAAGACATCTGTTTATATTTTCCTTCTGAGCCCCTCCCCTTCCCTTGGTAGTGGGGCTGTACCTCACATAGTCCCACCCAGGGGTGGGGCTATGACTCAGGCAGACCAATAGGAACCCCTTATTCTCTTGTTTCCAGAGCAGAACACATGACCAGACCAGGGCCTATGGGTCTCCTATATAGAGAACCTGACTTGGATACTGGAAGAGCATAGCCCCACTCCTCTACAGGATACAATTGCTAAGATGCACATAAGTGGAGGGTCATTGTGGCCACCATGAGAAGGCAGCCTGCTCCCGAAGGATGCCAACAGAAGGCAAGCCAAGGAGAGACACAGAGGGAGAAAAAGAGTTTGTTCAAACCCTTGATCCATCTCTACCTGATGTCAACATACGCCTTGGCCTTTCTAGTAATGTACACCAAGAGAGTCCCTTTATTCACTTACGCTAGTATGAGTTGGGTTTCTACCATTTGCACCCAAAGGGATTCTAATGACACCAGACACAGTGAAGGTCCAGTCCCAGGAGGACCGGGCTGAGCCCCACGCGTAGCCTCACCTATGTGTTGGGCACAGGTGTCGCAGTATTCCGCATACAAGGACTCAAAGCAGTGGCAACAGTAGGGCCTTCCCTCCTTCATGATGTAGCGCTGGCCGCCCAGCACCGTCTCACACTCGAAGCAGCAAAAGTGTTTCATGTGCCAGTGCCGCCCCTCGGCTTCGGTGCATTCGTCAGCGAAGATGATCTGGAGATGGGGATGCCAGATGGTTAGGACCCGGCCAGGAGAATGCACGTTACATGAGGACAGGGAGGGGCCCAGACTAGAAGGGTGGGAAAGCTGTCCTCCTGACAAGTTGTTAAACAGAAGTGGATCAGAATATGCTCATTCTATACCTAATCAGCTCCCACATTTGGATTTGCCTGAAGTACAATTAAACATGGTTTTCAGTCTGGCCTTGTGATTAGTTTAACCACATTTTAATAAGAGAAAGAATGTCCTAAATATGAAGAATATAGAGTAGGACCCAAAATTGACAGCTCATGGGCACTTTGAACATACGTATCTGTTTTACCTGACCTATACATAGTATTTTTAAAAAGTGGGAAATGCCATATAAACACCTGGAATCCTGGTTTATCTTTTGAGTATATCATATGTGGCAACACGCAGTGTATATCCCTGTGTAGCCGAGTAGCCTGGGTGGGAAGAGGCGCTGCTGCTCCCAGGTGAGTGGTGAGTTCTCAGTTTGGTCCTACTTGTCACCACTCACTGTTGCCTTAACATGAGCCACCTTCATGTGCAATATCTGTTGCCCTCAGAGCATTTTTGTTTTGACCTTTAATGTAGAGTTTTTAAAAATCTAAAGCATCGATTTAAAAGCTTCCTACAAACTACAGTAATGAAGACAGTGGGTACTGGTATAAGAATAGACACATAGATCAACAGAATAGAACTGGAAGTACAGAAATAAACCCAAACATTTATGGCCAATTAATTATCAACAAGGGTGTCAAGGACATTCAATTGGGGAAGAATAGCCTCTTCAACAAATGGGGCTGGGACAAGTGGAGAGCCACATGCAAAAGAATGAATCAGAACCCCTACCTCACACTACACACTATAGGAACTCAAAGGGATTAAAGACCTAAAGAGCCAAAAACTATAAAATACCCAGAAGAAAACACACGTATAAATGTTCATGACCTTGCATTAGGCAATGGTTTCTTAGGTATGATACACTAAACACGTAAGCAACAAAAGAAAAAATATATAAATTGGACCTTATCCAAGTTAAATTGTTTTGTGTTTCAAAGGACATCTTCAGGAAAATGAAAACATAACCACAAAATGGGAGAAAGTACTTGCAAATCATGTATCTGATAAGAAACTAGTATCCACAATATATAAATAGTTACAATTCGACAGTGAAAAGAAAAATCACATAATTTAAAAAAATGGGCCAAGAATTTGAATAGACATTTCTTAAAAAAAGAAAAATACACAAATGGCCAATAAACACATGAAAAGATGCTCAGCATTATTAGCTGTTAAGGATATTCGAGGCACAACACTTTACAGCCACCAAGGTGACTATAATAAAAAAGATAAGCAATAAATGTTGAGAATGTGGAGAAACTGGAATCCTCATTTATTGACAGTGGAATGTAAAATGGTGTAGCTGTTCTGGAAGAAAGTTTGGATTCCCTCAAAAAATTAAACAGAATTTTCATATGACCCAGCAATTCCATTCCTAGAGAACTAGAAATACATGTCCACACAAAAACTTGTACATGAATGTTCATAGCAGCATTGTTCATAATTGTTTAAAAGTGGGAACTTAAATGTCCATCAATTGAAAAATGGCTAAACAAAATCTGACATATGCATACGACTGAATATCATTCAGCCATGGAAAGGAATACAGTACCGATATAATGTAAATATCTGATATGCAGGATGTATTTTCATTGTTACAAATTGAATGTAATTAAAGCATTGTGATGAATCACAAAAACAATATGTAATTATATATGTTTTCTGATGGTCTTAGGCAACCCCTGTGAAAGGGTCATTCGACCCCCAAAGAGGTCGCGACCCACAGGCTGAGAACCGCTGTCTTAAAGCATCATATTCTATATGCCATTAAGTAACATAATGCTGTGTTATGAGCACTCATTTCCAGATTTGGAAACTGAGGCATGAAGGTAAAGCGGCTGCCTAGGATCACCGAGCTGGACCTGAACTGTTTCCAGACTTCTTGTCTAGCGGGTCTCTCTAGAACATCACCATTAGCATTAGAATCCAAATTAGTTAAGGCTGATCAACTTCCTCCTAGAAGAGCGAATCTCTCCTGGACAATTTATAAGGAAGAATTGCCCAGGGGGTAGTGAACTCTGGCTAAAAAAGAGAGTACTGTTTATACAGTCCCACATTTCTGCTTACAGGGTAGAGAGAACCAAAAATCCACTCTGTGCAGGAGGAAACCCCTGTCCAAGACCTTTCCCCCGATGAATCCCATCATAGTGGTCAGCTTTAGAACATTCTCCTTTCTGCTCCAAACTCTTACAAATTTTTTTATTGAGCCTATAAGCTCCAAACCTTTAGAGCTAAACGAGGTGTTCTAGTCTTCCAGTTCCCAGGTCATATCTGGGTGTGCTTCCGGCGTGAGTGAGCACAAGCCTGGCTTGTGTTCCTGTCTGCTGTCTTACTCCGGGTAGCAAATTCAAGTTCTCAGAGTGCAGGCAGAGGCACCCAAAGGCAGTATCCATCGGCCTCCTGGACCCTCATCAGAACTTCTATAAGTTGTGGGAAAATTAAATAATGCTACCAGCTTTCTTCTCAAACCAAACTGTCCCTCTGAAGCTCAGAAAACAGAGCTTTTAAAGATATAAGTGGCGCATCATTACTGATGATTACTCCCTGGGATTTGGGCTGAAATCTAAAGCTGCACGATACCATGGTTCTTTTCTTTAACATTCTGAATGGACCAGTGCCAGGAGTCACCTCAGCTACAGAAACCAACTGCCTTCCCACTGGGTCCATGAGGCTGTGCGTTCAGTGATGCAGACCAGCCACCCGGGATGGGGACTTCTCTCGGGAAGGGTTAATATAGGAAGGCGGAGTGGCCTGTGGTTTTCCTCCCTGCAGAAACCACAGCCCTTCCCCCCCTCCCCCAACTCCCCTGTGTGGGTTATGCCACAGTGGGCTGCGGGCGGGGCTGCCAGCCCCCGGGAGCGCACTGACCTCGTCACAGGCGGCACAGCGCGGCTTCAGGCACTCGGCGTGGTGCCGGCCGCAGTAGATCTTGCCGTCCTGGTAGAAGTAGATCAAGTCCACCAGGAGCTCGTTGCAGACGGTGCATATGAAGCAGGGCGGGTGCCAGCAAACGCCGTGGCCGGCGCGCGACGCGAACACGGCGATGTCCCCGCCGTTAATCTGGCCTCCGCACTGCGAGGCAAAGGAAACGTGAGTGTGAACAGCGCTCCCATCGCTCATACCGCGCACAGGTGACAAACGGCCGCCACCTCCACCCGTCATCGACCATAAGCACTTATGTTCCCACGGGGCCCTGTGCGACCTGCTGTACATACGTGCTGCCTCCCCCTCTCTCCTTGTGTAGGGCCACCAAGGAAGATGAAGGTTAAGTAACTGAGCAAATCAGGACTCACAGAGGCGGGAAAGAGGAAAACTCTGCATCAGAAGACACACTTATACAAACTCCATCCGGAGGCACAGACAGGGTTAAGATGAGGAGGAGGAGGAGGAGAAGGAGGAGGAGGAGGAGGCTGTGGGGGCTGAGGGCAGGAGAGGGGCTGTAAGGTGATAAGGGGAGTGGGTTCATTCAAATGTGCCCGCTTTTAACTATTTCTCTTAGCCTGCCTCCGCTAGCATCCTTTTACATAATCCTGATTAAAAAGGCACCATTTCTCAGACCAGCCTCTGGAAAGGGCTTCTTCCCTGTCCCTCCGTCATCTTCCCACTCACCTCCCCAAGCTCCTTCCCCATCCAGAACGGGGCAAGGCAGAGTCCCCGGTAACCCGTGCTTAAGGCTGGGGTTAGGGTAGAACAGATATGGTCTGAGGGCCTTTGAGGGAGGAATCAAGTGTGAGGCAGTGGGTCCGGGGGCAGGATCTCTGCTGACCATGAGGTTCACAGCCTGAGGGTCCAGTAACAGGGCCCCACATGAGGGGCAGAGCTCTGGGGACATTGTCTGCAGAGCAGAAACGCTACCTCCTAACCTTTCCTACATCATGGGCCTCCCGTGGGTTGAAATGCTTTCTAGAAAAAGGAGTAAAGAGCTCATGGAACTGGCTCTGGGAGCCCGATCATGTGATCAGACAGAGGAAAGACTATGCTACAAAAAGCACTAACCCTTCCTCTTATAACATTAGTAGAACTGGGGTAGCATGCTGTTAACAGGTAAACTGAGGCACATTCAAAATTTCAAGAGTTTACTTGAGCAAATGCTGGATCGTGTTGGGCAGCACCAAACTGGAGGTGGTTGGTGCGCCCCACGGATGGGAGGTCGGGGGCAGGTTCTTACAGAAAAGAGGCAGAAGCAGAGAAAGCAGTGTTTTGAGTGGCTGCAACTTAAGCAGTCATCTTATTTGGGAAAGCCTGATTCGAATTTGTGATTGATTGTTCTTAAGTTTCGTTTTCTTGGGTTCTGGTACATTGATTCTGGCTTAGGTTTTGGTTTGCTACCGTACAAAGTACTAGATCCACCTCAGTGTAATGGCCTCTTTATTTAATTACCTTAACGATACAGAATCCCATTTAATCTCAACATCATTCTATGACACAGGTATATGCTATCCCCATTCATGGCCAATGTCATTTGAGAGAAGCATGAGTCAAACTTACATCTCTCTGTCTCCACGCGCTTGTCACTATTCTGCCCGACTTTTGACATCTTCTCACAAATGCCCAACCTTCCTCTGTCTTAGGTGAGCCCCACTGGGCTGCCTCTGGGAGCAGCAGAGATCCTGCATTGAGCTGAGTCCCACATCTTAACCGCTGATGACCTGCATCTCCAGGTGGGTCTTAAGGATGAAGACCCCACTGCCAAAAATCTGGTCCTTTGGCTCCCCTATGAAGTATTACCTTCATTCTATCCACCTGAATCTTCTTACTCTATCCCTCTGAAATCTCAAAAACAAAAAAAAAAATCCCAAATGTCACCCTGCCCCCTCCGGTATTATCTTGGTTTCTTGTCTCTGATCTGGCTCACGTATCTCCAGCACATGAACCGGCCCCTTTAGTCCAGGGGTGGGGAACCTTTTTTCCGCCAAGGGTTACCTGGGTATTTCTAGCATCATTCGCAGGCCATACAAAAATATCAACTTAAAGATTAGCCTCCTATATTTGGTCAAACATTTAATTAACTCACTCCTAATGCCTTGGCAGGGCCAGGGCCAGACCAAATGATTACTGGGGCCTTATATGGCCAGCGGGCTGGACATTCCCCACCCCTGCTTCAGAGCTAGGCAGTTAGACGGGCCGGTACAAAACGCACAGGGCTAAGGAAAGTGCTGAAAATGACAGTCAGCACAGAAGGCTTTTGGCAGGGTGAACACAGACAGGCTGCGTTCCCACCACCTTGCTTTCTTTTTATTGTTTCAATTGATGAGAGAGAGAGAGAGAGAGAGAGAGGAAAAGAGAGAGAGAGAGAGAGAGAGAGAGAGAGAGAGAGAGAGGAAAAGAGAGAGAGAGAGGGAGGGAGCTGAAAAATATATAATTTTATTAACTAATGTTACCCCATAACCTAGCCACCTCCTGCATGCACTCTGGCAGGGAATTGACCCTGTCACCTTCCGGCGTACAGGATGACGCTCCGACCAACTGGGCCCCACTGGCCAGAGCAATTGCCACTGTCCTGCTTTCCTTAAAACCCTCCTCCGCCATCCCCTGAGAGCAGGAGAAAAACAAACCCAGACGCTTCAAGCAGTGAGGTCCCAGGGAGAATGCAGGGGCCTTCCTGCACTTTGCTAAAGAGCCCTCAAACCAAGCGGATGACCATTTACCACCCTGTAAATGTCACGGTCCTGGGAAAGAGGCTGGCCCGGTCCAGGCAAACTCCACTTTCTAAAGGACGCATTTAAAATATAAACCCAGCATATGTCAATCCTTGGAGCAACTCTTTCCAATGGGCACTTAACCCCCAGGCCCTTGCCCTCCGCCCTGCCACACTGCAAACGACAGGAATGTCCTGCCTCAGGGCCTGTGAGCCCTCTGTCCCCTCTGTCCCCGCTGCCCCTCCCCAAGGCCTATGTGCTTCCCTCTCTCAGTTCTGGCTTGTCTTTGCTCAGAAGCCACCTACTAAGAGGCCCAGCCACATTATGAGAATGGCAACCCCACCCCCACTCCCAGCACTTCCTAACCCCTTCCCTGCTGTATTTTTTTCTATCCTGCTTATTTATGTTATTGTCTGACTTGCCCTAGAACATAACTCCTCACAAGGGCAAGACGAAGCTTTTAAATGTTTGTTCACTGCTGTATCCCCCTGCCCAGAACAGCGGCTGGCCCAAGCGGCACTCAGAAAGTGAGCATGACGGGCGAGGCCGGGGAAAGCCAGCCGGGCAGTGCCGCCTCCAAGCTCACCTGTTCGCAAATGGCTCCAGTCATGGTGACTGGGAAGGGCCTGACATTCCCTCGGCCCAAGTTCTCGCGCTTCCTCTGGTTGCTGAAGAGCTTCAGCTCCCGCTTCTCCTCCTCATCCAGGGAGTTGCAGTATCGGACCTGCAGGGACACAGAGGTGGCAGGGAAGAGTCACCCTTCGCTCGTCCCCTTAGGATTCCAAAGCTCAGGCCTCAGTTTTCTCAGCAAACGCGCTCCTGTTTGGTGTCAGGGTCCTGGCCTGGACTTGAACACGGCCAGGCTTGGGGACATCTGAAATGAGTCCCTACCTAAAGGAGCTGACTAAAGGCACCAAACTCTGGAGCCCAAGGCTCAGGCAGGATGAAGGTCCGTAGCTGTTCCTCATCCTCACTGCCTCACTCTGCTCCCCACCCTGAGCCACCACTCCCAGATCTGAGACTTTCTCCTTCTTTCAAATGGATTTGCATCTTCAAACTGATTGTGGGGTCCTGATACTTTCATGGCCGGGTGCCCAGGTAAGTGGTCCTTGACACCAATGACGGCCCCTGGCCAGCGAGCCAGAACCATTGTCGGTGGGCTCATAGCTTCTCTTCTCTCAACTCATTGTTGGGAAAATGGGGAACCAAAGGCTGGAGACTGAAGAGTTAGCTCAAAAGCATCTGTGTTGCTTCATGGGAGTCCCTGCCTGCTCCTCTGTGAGTCAGAGGAAAAAGCCACCTGCTGGGCTTTGGTTAATGCATCAACTTGCATTAAGCTATGATCCTTCTTGTCAGACACAGACACACAAGTAAGGGAGGGGCATCAAAGACATTCAATCCCGTATTTCCATCTCTTCCCTTACGTCTGCACACCTCGAGAATTTTGTCAGAGTCTTGAACTATTACCTACTTAATGGTACTGTTGTGATTAATAATAGGAAAATTATTAATAACAGGAGAGGAGCAAAGGGAAGGCCAAATATTATGGGCATGTCATTTGGGCAGTTTCGCCAGAAGCTAAAACCTTACACTCCCCAGTGGTCCAGCAAAGGGGTGACAGGCAAATGCTCAGTAAAGTTGGGGGGTGACTACTGCAGGTGCTTTCCTGTTAGTCACACCTGGGAGCAGGTCGCTGGCCAGGGCAGGGATGGCCACCACAAAGGCATGACATTTGGGATATTTGGTCCCCTGAACAAAGGAGTTCGCTCTCTTCATTCCTCTTGGCTCTCGTTTTCTCTAGCTCTTGGTGTGTTTGGTTGGCTCCTGGCTGTGGGGCTCCCTTGCATTCCCCTAAATGGCCCACGACCATGCGCTCCCCACACACAATGGACTAATGGACGGCAGCTAGCCTGATGCTGAAGTGGACCCAGCTCCAACATGGAAGGAAAGCTAGACACTGGCTCTGGATTTAGCTCTATTGAAGCCCCACCTACACTTCTTCCAGGACTGGACTGAGGGAAAGGGGACTTTGGAAACCCAGTAATTTCATGCAAAGAAAAATCACTCATTCTCCCGTGGGAGTTTCAGAAAAGTCTTTCTCTCGAGATGTAAGGACACCACCCCCAGCCCTCAGTGAGGAAAGGGAGACCCCACTTCCACCGATAACACTTACTACTGTTTTAACACTGACTGACTCACTTTTTAAAACTTGACTACGTTTATTTAAAAAGAAAGTACATTATGATTATAAACGGCAAACCTGTATTACCTGTAAAAATCAGAGGGCGAACATAAACTAAATAGAATGAGAATGAAACCACATGGTTAGATTCTACCTGGATACCTTTGGCTGTGGGAGGTCCCAAAATGCAGATTCTTAATGCTGCAGCTTCCAAGCTACAGCTGCTGCCCCATCTGAACTGTCTCTCCCTTCACTATCCATGAGGAATGAAATACAACTTACGAGGAAGTGCTCTCTCATTACATGGTTCAGTTTTACACACTGCCTTGCCCGTGTCCCACCTCAAGTCCCGTGCCCACCACACTTTGGCAAACAGTGCCCTAACCCCACCGCCTGCCTCACTTCAGAATAATCTGAGCATCAGAAGGTTAACTGAGATGCTCAGATGCCTGTCAGCCAGAGGGCTCCAGGGGGCCTTTGAACTAGGCTGGTGCGTCCTAATTTAAAAACCAGGGCGGCTGCAGATATCAAAACTGTCTTCTCTGGGTGAAAAAAAGAATGATCAAATGTTTACGTTAGGATCACCCTTTGTTCCCCACAGGGCCACATCTAAATGGTTGAAACTGCCTCCGGGCCCCACGGAAGGAATTCTCACCAGCAGGAAGGAGGGATTTGAAAGGTCTCTTTTCATGAAACCACAGTTAACCTTACACAGAATAAACCATTAAAAGCAGAACAGAGCGGATCAGGCCCCTCTGTCACGTAAAAAGTTAACAGAAAAAGAAACCGTCTTCATGCGGATGCTTCTCCCTGGGAGAGAACCCAGGGCCCCCAGCAACCCGGACTATATGGTTACTGACACTTTATGGATAAGCTTTTAAAGACAGGCACACCCCTCCTGCTTGTAAAAACCCGCATTTTCACTTCCAAGTTAGTTAACTGGGCGTCAGGTTACAAGGTTTGCTCTCAGCTTAAAGAGGAAGCATTATTTATACACTTTCTAAAGGACGTCTGCTGTGGCTCAAACCAAGCGGGTGAACACGAGGAAAGGGAATCACGGCCCTCTTTCTAGGAGCTGCCTCAGCGTGTAAGCTTTTGCTCCACTTATCACTTATTCAAATGCACTTTCGTGGCTCCTGATTTACCCTTTTCTTTCAGATGTGGGGAGGTAAAGACTAGAAAGCACTCAGTCATTTCTCTGGGATCCAGCTTGTGGGTGGGACAGTGGGTCGCTGGTGTCTCACTAAGGGGTTATCTTTCTTTTCAATCGAAAATCGTGTTTCTGTTTAAAATGTAATCCAGTTCAGTGGACAATTCAATTCTATGGGATTACAATTTTCACAAACCAGATACTTAACAATTAATGGTTAGTTTACTAATCTAAACCCCTCAAGCATGAGGAGCTTTTAAAAGCATATTTACAAATGTCCCTTCAGGATCAATTTATCTCCCAAGATAAATGCCTGCTCACAGCGCTGTGGGTGTGGGTTCAGAGAACAGGACAGCCTGCAAGCCAGACTTTCAAGGGTGCAAAGGGTGGCCTCAGCAAGTTGGACTTTAAACGACAAAAACACAGATTTTCAGAGCTGCACATCTGAGCACATAACGTCTGCTGCCGTGGAGCGTGGGAAATGTGCGCACTCATTTAACGTGAGATGAGGCTGAAAATTCAAGAGTCACAAGTCTTTGCAGGGTTTGAACTGCCCAGGGAATCTCAACCGTCCCAGATGCTCTGGAGACCAGCCTTGCCCATTCTTCTTCAACTAAGAAAGCCTGAAATCTGCCTTCAAACGTTCGTGCTCCCTGGTTAACCTCAGAGTGCTAGCAGTGCCAGGCGAATCCAGCCCATACGGAGACTTTGCTTTTTGGTAATGCTCTCCAGAAGGTGTCTGAGAGCTGTGTTTGGCTCTAATTAAGGAAGCTAAAACCTAAGCTAAACGGCCAGAATGTTTCTTTGGAGATCGTGATCACAGCATTCCAACTGTGGAGAGGTAGGTAGATATTCGGGGAAGGTTCTAAGGAAGGCTCCCTAAGGCCCCCCAGCCCCTTACCTCATTGTCATGCGGCGGCAGCTGGTGTAATAGCTGCTTGATTCGCAGCTTCTCCCCGGGACTGTTGACATAAGGAACCTTCTCCTCTGGGAGACAGCTGTAGTACTGGTGAACCTGAGGGTGAAAAGTGCACAGGTGACCGGCCGTTCCGCTGTCTGAGATGCTCCCCACAGCAGGACACAGGCTATGTCCCGCCGGCCCACCCTGCGAGGAACACAGCGGCATGCGTCTCTCACTGCCAGCAGAGAAACTCCTTCTTCAGGAAAGAGCCCAGCAAATCCCCCAGCTCCTGGGGGCTTTCCCTCTCTCTCCAAAGAAAAGACAAAAGCCAGCGAACTCTCCTGGAAGAAGAGAAATTGGCAACCATGCCGGCGAACCTGGAGGCTAGGGCTTTCTCCGGCTCCGGCTCCGGAGCTGACTTTACCATTTTCCCTGCTCGTCTCCAGCGTGTAACATGCCTCCGGAGCCAGCGGGATCTGTCAGTGCCTGCCCTGGCAGCGCTGGAGTCAGAGCCCGCTTCTGGCACTCACATCCCTCAGCCGCCTCCTACGTGCACAGCCCTCCAGGCCCTGAGCCCTGTGAGAGGACAGGCAGCAGCTCCCATCTGTCAGAAAGAGCCCCTGAATCTGGATACAGAGCGTGTAGTGAAAAGTCGTCAGTAATAGGAGTATTTCTGTCCATCCTAGAATGCTCCTGCTGATGACAGGGCAGATTCGTGCACTTTCTAAGCCAGGTTAACCCTAACGATGACTTTGGGAAGCACCAAGCACCTATTTTTGTCTGAGGAAAGAAAACATTCTGTCATCCAGCTGCATGCAAAACTAGGGAAAGGAAAAACTGACCCAAACCGGTGGTATGCTATTATATAGGAGGGACAAAAACAAACAAACAAACAAACAAAAAACCACGCACGCTCAGATGACATCATGGAAAATACTTTCCAGCTACCTCCTAGGCGCATCATGACCAGCTCTTGAGAAACAAGGCATTCATTCAACAGCAGGGAAGAAAGAAGACTTGGGGCTCTAAGTTCATCATGCTCGTCACAGTCCACAAATTTGGTCGAACTCCCGAGTTTGGGGAGTCTTGGATATGCACGCCGCTTTGGGGATGCTGGGACAAAGAGGTACAACAGCTGTCTACTCTGATCTCCAGAAAGGAAGTCGTAAGCAGTAGAAGAGAGGGGAGAAAGGCTTTGCAATGACAAGGCCTTAAAAAATGTGACAGCCATCTTTATTTTCCTAACAAATAATCGCAACCATTCCCCATCATGTGCATATCATCCTCTTAATCAAATCCCAAAGGCAACCGTAAACAGACGTCTTGTCCTAGACCAGCTGGCTCGGGGAGGCCGGGCCTCTGCAAGGCTCCCCGCAGGCACCTGGCGGGGAGCCACCTCCTGGGAGGGGAGGACCGCTCCAGCTTCTGTGCCGCCCACAGGTTCCCGGCACTCTCCAGAGAAGAAATAAAAGGCCAGATGACGAGTTCGTTTGGAAATTAGAAGCTGGTGCTGAGCCCCTCAGAGGAGCAGCACCATCTGGCTCCTCAGGTAAGTGCCAGGTATGAAAAGCAGACCCCGTCTCCGTGTCTTGGAGAAGGGCTTTGCCTCCCAAGCCAAACAATTGCTGGTAGAAAGGCCTTGTTGCAACCTCACTTGGCAGTTCTCACGACACCCATGATGGTTCCGGAACAGTAGGGACAAATGCGGACATCGAGCGAATCGCTGTGGGTACTTGATAGTGAACTCACTTGAGCTGTGCCCCCCTCATTATTCACACAGCCCCCTCTTCACTGCCCAGAACAAAGTAGTCCCTGAGAGCCCTTCTGATCGAGCGCCTGAGCCAGGCCCTCTCTGTCACTGTCCATGCCTGGCCCAGGGTGGAGTCTTCCCTGCACCGTCTGTGTCATGGCCAGGGAGACCCACACCCCAGCCCGGCTCGAACATGCTCCATGCCTGTGTCCTCAGCCAGTTATATTAACCACGCAGAAGCCGCATTGGAAGATCGGGGCAATGCAGTGAGAGCGTGGGCAGAGCATTTGCCCCCGAATAGCAACACATGACATGAACGTACAGCAATCAGTATGTTATCTAGCCTGGCATACTCCACATGGAACAATCCAGAGGCTTCCCGGACTTCCTTCCAGTTGAAAATGAGGGCAACACTGTCAGCTTGTTGAGTTAGACCGAACCCCGCCCCTCCCCACTCATCTCAGTCTAAGCAAGAGGGTGGCAAGGAATAAAATGCTACTTGAGCTAGTTTGATTGCAGTGATAAAATGGAAAATTGTTATAAAGGTGTGATGCTTTCTCCAGAAACCCAGAAGTACCTCCGGGCCTCACGAGGAAATGGAACCTGCCGCTGAAAGGTGATCGGTCAGGGATGCTCATCGCTCCAAGCCCAGTGTCCTCTAGGCGTCTCTCCCCGCATATTTGCTTCTTACCTCTCACAGCTTAAGGTTTCCCATAAAACTTGAGTTTCTACAACCTCGGTTCCTACACTGACTAGCTTTGCTCAAACCCAAATCCCCCAGAGAAAGACCTGACTGCCCATCTTGGGCAAGCTCCACACCTGGAAAGCAGTCCCCCACACCTGACACTGGAGGGCAAAGGAGTCCCCAACATGCAGCGACAGAGCACGCCAGGGGTTCTTGGGAGGTAAATAAACATCTTGGTATGCTGTGTGCCATCCTCAAGGCTTCGAATTCTTTTTTTAATTATTTGATGTTTTAATTACAGTTTATATTCAATACTCTTTTGTATTAGTTTCAGGTGTACAGCATAGAGATTAGGCAATCATATACTTTAAAAAGTGTTCCCCTGATAGTTCCAGTATCCACCTGGCATCATACATAGTTATTACAATATTATTGGCTATATTCCCTATGCTGTAATCTACATCTCGGTGACTATTGTGTAACTACCAATTTGTACTTCTTAATCCCTCCACCTTTTTCACCCAGCACACCGCCCCCCCCCCATTCCCCTGCTCTCTGTCAACCATCAGTCTGTTCTTTATATCTATGAGTCTCTTTCTCCTTTGTTTGTTCACTTATTTTGTTCTTTAGATTCCACATATAAGTGAAATCATATGGTGTTTGTCTTTCTCTGACTGACTTAATTCACTAGAGTAATGCCCTCTAGCTCAATCCATGTTGTCATAAATGATAAGATTTTGTTCTTATTTATGGCCGAGTAATATTCCACTGTATATATGTTTCACCACTTTTTTTTTATTCCCTCGTGTATTGATGAGTTCTTGGGCTGCTTTCATATCTTGGCTATGGAAAATTATGCTGCAGTGAACATAGGGGTGCCTATATTAGACTCTGAATTCTTAAATCAACAGAGGGAACATAGGCCTACTTTTCCTGGCCAGACATCTTGTGTTGTCTCTTATAATTCAAGCCCACTGATTACCACCCTTGAAAAATGTCCTTTCTACCAGTATTCCAATAATGCCTCATATATGGAATGTGCTAAAATATTTTCTCACAATAATTCAGTGGATGCTTTTAAAACTGACCTAATTAGTGGGATGCCCCTTTATTAAAACAGATCAGCTAATATTCATTAACAACCTACCGAATCACCCCTGTGTCCTATTGTAGGTGATCTGACTTACAATGAGTTGATCAAGCCGTCTGCAAGCCTGGTCCAGTCCAGGAGAAAAAGCTACCCTCTCATGTTGACTTCTGTGTTTCCACCTGGTATTGATCTGACTTTCCAAGCTCTTTATTGAGCACGGAGGACTAGAGGATGGATGGGAATGAGGGAGAATCCACGCTCTTGAATTCCCAATTTGTCTGGCCGAACCTAGAAATGCTGCATGCGCTGCCCTCTGCCATCCTCTGTGAAAACAGGACTATACGCCCCGGAACACACGCCAGAGGAAAGACCCAGGATACTTTCTGAGGCTCCAAAAATTAAATTGGACACCACCCCTGGGAACCCCGCAGATTGCTCATTTTAGCCCCAACATGTTTCACTTGGTAATTTTTACAAATAAATGAGCAAAGCCAACCGCATTTTGTCAGTGATGATCATTACCAAGCTATTACCTGGTATGTTGATCTCTATTTTTCCTCGTGTGTGTACTGATGTACACAGCATATTGCTCCAAGAGCAGGTCTATTGAATGTTCTAGAACCTTTGGTCCCTTTAAGCATTCCCAGGTAGAGGTGTCTCGTGATTCTGCCCTGGGTGAAGCTGTACTAGGTACACCCAGCCCCGCCCCCACCGCCCCACCCCACGAAAGCATTTTGAATACAATAAACTGGCTTATGAAAACCAAGTAGCTGAAGGCCTTTATTTAAGGTGTCACTCCCCACAGGAAGGTTTGGCAGTACCTGCAGTCTGTCTGGCGGACTGTCAGATCTTAGTCAGTGTGCAAACAACGTCCGCAGAGCCAGGCCTCGCCCAGTTCCAGAGACCGGGCTTGTTTGCACTTTTGACAGCATTTCTACCCGGGCACCGACAGAAGGGAGGGCGTCAGGGGCTCCTCACTGGAGAGAAAAGTGTGCTAATTTTAAAAAGTGGGCACAGTGCTTTATATAAGGTGATGGGTCTCAAACTTTGGCTTGCACCAGAGCCCCAGACAGGTTTGTTGAAACACACATTGCTCTTTCAGTAAGCCTGGGGCGGGACTCACCAATTGCATTTCTAACTGCTCCTCAGGTAATGTCCCTGCAGTGGTCGAGGACCAGGATTTGAGAGGTTTAGACTTACCCTAGAGCAGGGGTCGGCTCTTTGGCCCCTTGAGTGTGGCTCTTCCTAAGCCTTAGGAGTACCCTAATTAAGTGTACCTACCTATATAGTTTAAGTTTAAAAAATCTGACTCTCAAAAGAAATTTCAATCGTTGTACTGTTGATATTTGGCTCTGTTGACTAATGAGTTTGCCGACCACTGCCCTAGGGTCTCCCTCCCTCCAACCCCAGGAGGTTGCCAGGCAGATGGTGGGCTTCCTGTTTGCTCCAAGAGACCCAGAAAGCCCAGAGGAGGGGAAGGCATGTGTCCAATCCCACTCAATTTTGCGGGTGTCTCCTTCCAACTCTGCACATACATTTTAGCCAGGGAGTTCCAGCAGCTCTGGCAAGAATGAAAATTCCTTAGGGAAAGGGCTCATAGAGGACATTTTCTGTATCAAAAGCATCCTTGGTTTCTTAAAGATGGAACACAACAAAGAAGTCAGACTTTCTCGGTTGATCTCAGATTCAACTATCCCTCATCGTCTTTGAAGAAGGGATCCATGAATGTATTTATTTATTGAATGTTCTTATGCCCAGAGTGTTTCTACACACGTATCTTGTGAACCCCGCCCGCATCCTGGAGGCTGGTATGTATACTCACCAGATTGAGCAGCACAGAGCTAAGAAGTGGGAGAACCACCTTTGGCCTTGGCTTGCTCTTCCTCTCCCTGTTTATGGAGGAGGTCTTAGCCTCCCTTATCAAGAAGAAA